GTCTACTACTGCAGTAGTTAGGTATCAATAAGTAGCCGATATTAATAGTTTATGGATGAGCACGTTACAGCCAGATTGGGAAGGGATTTTTTTAATTTTATACGCGGAGTTTTGGAAGCACGACAGAATTATTCAACAAGCTTGGACACTCATTAATTATTCCATTAACGGAGCTAATAATGCAATTAGTAGCCACATCGTATCTGATAGAAAAATAAACAGATGTTATAAAAAAATACAAAGACAATATGTAAAATTAAGCAGTAAAACAGATATCTATGAGCTAGTGACTTCTGGCTAAATGAGTCACATGCGAGCTGTAGACATTTTTCCATACCCCCCACTTCAAACATGTCTGATAAACACTTTCCCTTGTCAGTGTAATATGATATCATGAGTTTTTACCTTTTTAATATTTAATTTTGTGTTTTTATGTGCTTGTCAAGGATTATAAAGGTTTTATTATCCTGTCAGTGGAAATTGCGGGCGTACAAAAACAACAGAATTTATGAATGAAAGAATACTTTATCATAGCAGCAATGCTGACTCTCTTACAATTGTTGCTATCACACGGAGTTATGAAGGGGTTGAAAACATTGGAGAGCCAAGCGTAATAAAAAGTATTTCAAATTGTCTCATTCATCACAAATGTAGGCAGTACGGCTGGGCTGGAATCATGACCCAGGGGCTAGTGCAAGACTATTTAGAACAAGAAAGGAAAAAAAGGAAAGAGATAGAAATAAAAAAGAAACATTACAGATTATTCGCTTCACCTCTCATAGTTTCCACCGTCCCCACATTCACGTAGCTGCCAAGACAAGTGAACTACGACTTGCTCTGATTCGCATTCAGAATCAAGCAAAGGAAAGTATTTTTTTAGAAAATACAATGGATTTTATTGCGAAGCTTGAATAATAATCGTATCTCATAAATTCCGAGAAGACAGTGACTGCATGTATCCAGAACACAGGTCTGTTCTCTTTTCGTTTTCCAAATTTCAGGGCTTCTTTTGTCTGTCGTTATGAAGCACTGACAATCGAAATGCTCTTGCCATAGTTTTAAATCTTACGAAATGAAGCTTTAGAATGTCAAAGAACAGTAATTATATAATCTTAATTTAGAGAATATATGTCTTATGACATGACTTATAATGTATTTAATTTTAATTAGTTTAATTATAGGAAACGTGTATATACAAATTTATATTAGTGTGGTACAGATACGTCCAAAGAATTTTAGATAGATGTCAGGAACAAGGGCTGAAGAATTTGCTGTCAGGAAGACTGGAAAAGCGAGAGTTGTGTGATGAAGAGTGGAGTGGGAGGACAGCAGATGTATCGGGAACAATGGCGATCACAAATCGGAAGACTTCAATAAACCGATATATATAAAACTACATACATATTTACGATACAAGAAAAGGACGTTGGTATGTAAATATATGCACAGGATTAAACATAGACCGCAGATAAGTGAAAGCAAAATTCTGAGGCCCCCAGGCAGATGAATTGACAAGATATACCATAAAATCAGTCGGTCGTGTGTAGATACTTCAGTATACCCGACGCCGTGTATGTTAGGGCGAAGGTGAGATAAAGGAGAAAAATATAATTTTCTGAAGAGAGGTTAACACGATATATTGGCGTCTTTACATAGTACTTAGTACTTCATACTGAGAGTAAGGTTATGATACCAGGGCCTAATATGAACTTTGTAAACTTAACATAAGTCGAAGCGCTGAATCGTAGTTTGACTGAATTAAGAACCGAGATTATTAGAAGTTCCGGACTGTCAGAACTCTCGCACATATCTTTAGCGGTAATAATTAGTGTGGAAGTTTGGCAGGGCAAACAAGAAGTACTCAGTGATGAGTTTTGCCGCATTGTTACGTAATCCACCAGAAGTACCATCTGAACCTGCGATTGGAGGGGGAAAGTGTAGCATGAATATTCATTGGGTCACACACGTGTTGAAACACGGGCACACATCGACTTGCCGACGCCATAAGCCTGTTTCCACCATGAAATAGGACTGGAAGTCGAGGTCGAATGACTAGCAGTCCCGCTTCGTCTTCGGGAAGTGCACTTATTCGTTCTTGGAACAGACATCTGATCTGACTAATCTTCCATACCCCATGCTACATAAACACGGAAGGAAAATAAATAACGAGCATCTTAATAGTGTTATTGTATAAGTTCTTCTAATAAACTTTTATCAAACTGCATTCGTCACCAACCTCTTTAACCAGCAGGCATACATTGACGACTGTGAAACGTCAGAGTATATATAGTTTACTGCTGAACAAAACGTGTAGTCAAATTTTTGTAAGGTTTTGAATATCTTGAGGATTTTATCTTTAATTCAATACGTCCTCTCGGGCAATAGCCCGTGTCGGTTAGAGTAAAATTCTCCACCTTTCGGAGACTATCTCTGCCTCCATTATCAGGGAAATATGAGACCACATTGTCAGTGGTTGTGGCAAGATTAGTCTCCGGAACGTTTAAAATTTTACCCTATACTGACGCGGTCGGTTACTCTAAAGAATTTAATTATGAATATTTTTATGTGCTGCTAGAACTTATACACGTAGGTGATTTTGAATTCTTTAAATAAATTAAGTAATTCTTTAAATAAATTTCTATACATTTTTCAAACAAGGCATAAATCATGCCATAGGTCTAAAGTAGCGACAAAATATTGCCACTGCTAGCCGACACTACACAAATTGAATATTTTGTAAAGAGTACGTACAGTGCATTTATTATGCTGAGAAGCTGTGTTGAAACCCATCATGGAGACCTGGTATTTTGTCTGTCCTTCTCAACAAGTTCCAGACGCTTTTGAGTGCATATTATTCTGAATAGGATATGTCTGTAACGACTATGACAATAAGTAACGTGTATTCTTATACCCTAAAACTATTCACATAGTTCCACAGCTTAATCCTTTATCAAATTTAATGTACACCATTGCAGCACGTGCTTATCACATCGTAACACTTGGAATTACACCGTCGAAACTGATAATACAAATTAATAGCTCGCATTGGATTTAATATAATAGGTACAGTAGAGTGTCATATAAACAGATATTATTACGTTTGTTTGTAACTTGGTTCTGCTCATGTTCCATTTTCACAAAATAATTTAGGGAGGAGATTGTCCCAGATAAACATTTAATTTCGCGTAGTCTTGCAAAATTTCCAAGAGCTTGTGAACCCCCGACCCTCCTGTAAGCACTGACACGTGCTTCAAGCAGAAGTACGAAGGGCAGGGCTTGGATTCTGTACTCTCTATGCAAGTCTGTTCTTCGCCACTGCCTCACTGACCATTGGCATTCAATAGCGCACAATATTACCGAACGTGGCACCGGTGCGTACAGACACACTGCCATCGAGTGTGTATGTGGTTTCGTGGTGATAAAACCACAGAGGAATTTTCTATGAAGAAATAAACGCTTTCAAATTTCCTTGGGGTATTGCATATGAAATCTCTTCTAAAGCGTTTAGAAGCACTGCGTCTTTATGCAGGTTTAACAAATTTTGTATTTTTGTATATTTTTAGGTATTTGCAGTTATGGTTTTCTTGAGACTGCTTTAAACGCACGTTTTGTATTCAACATGGGGGAGGGGGTGTTTATGAATGTCTGTGATACAATGTGAAAATTGAGGACCTATGGGAAGGGTTCAATAACAAATGTATATTCTATACTTTTTCGTTTGTCTTGTCGTCTGCGCGGTAATATCTAAGGAAAATGTTACGATGATTTTACTTATTTCCAGTAACAGAATTGTTCTTATTTATCTGTATTAATTTGATTCGAAAACTGTCAAATGGAAACCCTTCTTGTTGTTTGTTTTTTTAATTTGTGAGATACAGGAACGTATTTCCGATTTATTTACGAAGACCCCTTCCTGACAATCATTTTCAGTTTATTGGATATAATATCACATTTTCAGTTATTAAATGTGTAGTTTAGTTAGCAAACATTCTATAGGAGTGTTATTTGGGGTAACTGGTGTGGTCCATGTATCTGAAGAAGGAACAAAGCGGTTTGAAATATATGCGGAGTAACGCATGGTACTAGAGATAAACAGTGGCGTGCGCTGTAAAGTTTGAGTAAGGAGGTCCCATGGCATTAAATTCTCTGGCTAAGCTATATCGAGGGAAGTCAAACCACGAGTACGAAACAGCTCATAAAACCTTTTTACTACATCTTTCTCTCTTAACGAGGTTTCAAACGTATATAAATGTAGTGATTTTAATTTTTTATGCATCACAATTGAAGTTCTGAAGTCGTATAAACACAAGACTTACTCTTGTGTATTTCGCTTTTAAATTCCTTGAAGTGTTTTACATCGATAGTGGATAAATGCGAATCATTTTCATTTTTAACTCACTTGAGAAAGCGATTATTTAATGGAAGATTAACATCAAATGCAGAAAGATACAGCTGAGTGGCTGAATTTTAAGATGTGTTTGATCTTTCTGACACTGTGTTTACAAATTTTGTATAAAAGACTCATTTTTGAACAGGGTGATATCGGAGTCTAAAGACTTTCGTGCTATTAGCGTTCACTAGAGGCATCTTTGAAGGCAGTGAACGTGAAATTGACAACCTTCCACCTTACACTATCTTCAAGCATGTCAGGTATTTCAATGATGCAGAGTTCTTTTTGAAGAGCTGTCTCGGCTAGTAAAGAATTCCTCGTCATAACATAACGTATGAAATTATCCATCTTTTATTATGGGGCGTTCATTATAATCTTTATGCTGACAAAGCACCCGCCACGTTAAATTGGCGGTCTCATATGAGAGTCGGATGATGCGGACTATTTAAAATGTGAATAAGTTATTAAATTATATTTTTGAAAAGCCTGAGAGACTTGGTTTTATAATACTCTGAAGCGGCCTTTACTTTGAGTAATATACAAACCTATTGGTTCATTCAAGTAATTCTCAATGCAAATGAATGTGCCAGTCGCTCTCTTCTGACTTCAGCCTGGATGCTCGTGGCGGGAACTTGGAATCGGCTAACCACTCGTTCATCAGCAACGACCTGGGAGCTAGGACGTACTTCCAGACTTCGGGCGTGTACCCAGCGCGTCTGCAGGTAAACAATGTCGGTGTGCAGGATGAGGGCGTGTTCCGATGCAGAGTAGATTTCGTCGACTCCCCCACCAGGAACTTTCGCGTCAACCTGAGCATAGTAGGTAAGTCTTTCTTCAGGGCAGCACTCGTCTAGAAATAATTTATATTTGTTTTCGTTAACAAAATATTAAAATAATCGTTTATATCGATATTTTGATTTTGGATTTTTGAAAATTATTAATAAATTCATTCATTGGAAGTGCAAAATAATTAGATGTATAAGAAGTGTAATAAGTACGAAGTTTTTAAATATTAGACTGATTACCTGTCACTACTTGCCTTTAATAAATAAACTTATTTTATGACTTCATGTGTAAGTGACTGGTTTAGGGTATGAATTGAAGTGTTTCCGGCTAGGATAATATGACAGGCTTTTGTGAACATTCGGAGTTCCAAAATAAACAGAATTTCTTAACTAGCTGAATAGTTTTGAAATGCTAAATTTATGCATAGAAACATACGTATTTAAAATTATAATGTTATGCGCTAGTGGTTCATATTGTTATCATAAATTAAATGTATTTAACTTTATTTTCCCGCCTGTTAGTGAAATACGGAGTTCCGTATCTGTTACAGTTCCTCCTTCCCGGCCAGTAATTTATGACGATAAAGGCAAAGAGGTAGCGGGCCTTGCCGGACCATTTATGGAGGATTACGATCTAGCACTGTCCTGCCATGTAATGGGAGGTAAGTCGCAAGTCAAACTGAAATTTTCACAGCGATGAAGATGTCGAATGATGTCTTTTGCTTTGTGACCCCTTGTGTTCTTGAATGTTTGAGGACGGATATCACAAACAAATGCCCATAGTTGTCACTTTTATTCCTAATCTTTATCCAGGACTTCCTTCTAACATTACTAGCCACCTCCAGGATACAAAATTCTAATAGTCGCTTACATCTTCAAGAAAATCCCTGTCTCTCCTGGAGCAGGAAGGTTTATTATCACGTCGTTGGCGCCATGTCTTGAGTCATTTGAATCCATTCCAGAGCCTCAAATGTGATTATTTAAGATAAATTTTAATGTTATACTACCACGTATGCTTAGGTCTCCCCTGTTGGCCCTTTCCTTCAGGTGTTAAGGATGAAATTGTGTATGTATTTCTTATTTAATCAAAAACTCAACATATCCGTCTCTTATCTTTCTTGATTTCGTTACATTGGTAATAGTTGGTAATGCTTGATGAAATGTGCAACTTAAGGAGATTCCTATTACGCAATTCTCTCAATCATCCTAGTAAGTTATTAATAGTACCTTTTGCTTTCTCATTTTTACATTGCATTTTATACAGACTACAAACATTTTAATCTTGTCCAGGATGCAGTAAAATTATAGCTTTATATATGTTAGATAAGACGTGTCCTGTCTTTTTCTTCGTTTTGAATCAGCGAATTTATCTTTACGCCAGATACTTTGTTTCTTATCGTCTCAGGCCGGCCGCAGCCACAAGTGACGTGGTGGCATGGAGGACTCCTCTTGGATAGCGACTCAGAAACTACTTCGGAGATTTACACAGTGAACAGATTGTTCATCAAGGACGTGTCCAGGTCTTTGCTGAACGAAAACCTGCAATGTAGAGCCACATCGTCTGATATCTCGCCTCCGGTAACGAGAGACGTCGCCCTCGAAATCTACTGTAAGTCCTAGGACTCTCGTAATGTAGGCTAGTTTGGTAACTTAGATCGAGATCGATAGATATCTGCTCTTAGTTACGTCATTTCACACAAATGCTTTTGTGTGTGTTACCTCATGCGGTTTAGGACTAATGACATTTTTTTAGAAGAATGCCACCTTTTGTAGAATAGACGACAGTTAGTACAGAAGTAGAAACGTGGAGAAGATATTATAATCGTTTGCTTAAAAATGTTTACTTTATCTAATTAGTTATCTTACGATGCTTCAATAAGAAATTTGAGATGACAGGGATATGGAACACACATGTGTGAAACAAATTCTTTTTGGAAGTTTTAATAAACCACTGGAGGACTCAGGCGTAGACTGGAGGATAACATTAAAATGGATCTTGGAGAAACTGAACTAACTGATAACTATTACGAAAACGATAATGATATCCTGCAATGCATAAATTTTGAATTTTTTTGTCACAATCTGCAGAAGATGTACATGCTCAAGAAGGATATTTCTGATGGCTTTAATGACTGACATTAATTTACTTCTTTGTTTGCTCTAAGTATCGTGGTATTGAGTTTTTCTACCTTTCTCGATGTACGAGATTTCCATAACTGGCCACAACACCATCTTAAATTTCCTGTGATTTGTGTAACAGAACCTAGTTTTGTAACGTAAACCAAATATTTTATACGCTTGCTGATTTTTCGTGCTAGGTGGCCATCCTCCGTTTGATATACAATAGAAGTGCTAAATAAGGACTTGGCTGGCATACGTTCAAGATATGGTGACCATATTCTTAAAGATGCATGCTGTAGCAAATTACGAAATTTGACATCTTAATCCTTTTCATGCTACGCACAAGATATTTCGTTTAGAAGCACTGCCCCGCTAGAAATTTATTTAGTGTTTCAGAATATTAGACAAGAAACATCTCAGTCTCATAAGATAATTATTTGTTTGTTTTCTAAAAAATAAATTATTTAATAGATACCGTAAAAAATATTTCAAGAGAAAAACCTCAAGATACTGGCCCATATGGTTTTCGTAAACAGATAAACTAGACGTAAGTCACACTTAAAAACTGCACGCAGTCAAATTGTCCTGGTGTTATGTAAAATCTAATGTCTTCCATATGTGATTTTAACATTTATTTCCGTTTTCGGTCAGTATATATTTCAAGTCTGTAGCAACTAGTTTTTAAGGTCTGCACATGGGAAATTTCATCGTAGGTACAGGTGGTGCCTGACACTGTTACGGACTCATAGCTACCTAAAGCCATTAGAAGAAAAGAGGTTTTGTTGCTAGGGGTAACGACGCAAGAAGTTCGCATTGTCCGCTGAAACGAAAGCCAAACAAAAGAGAATTGGAGGGGTGGGAGGAAAGAGTTCAGTATTTCTAAGATGACTGAACCTGTCACAATATCAAATGCTAAAAGGTTACAAAAGGAATAAAACTCTATACGGGGACAAGTTGACAATAGGAGCCCAAACTAATAAAGGGACAGAAATACTAGCCTATACAAAGCAATATGAGAGAAGAAAAATCAAACCAAAGGAATGAGAGCTTCTTGAATAAGAATTTTCAGTGAAGTAGAAATATTCAGAACAAAACCAGGCAAGAAAGTATTGCTATAACGTCAAGAATCTTAAATGACTACTTTATACTAAAAAAATAATGTAAAATGTATAAAGATGTTTTTCTTGGTAAAATAACCAAAAAAATTGGCAGAATAAGTACCGTAATAAGAATGTCTTCTTTCTTGGAAAAACATTTCATATTACAAGGTTGAATCAACTGAGATGAACAGAATAAAGCGCCGATCATTACGAAACTGCGTAGTGGACCACAGACCCTGAGAGAAATGAGCGAACAACACGAGCGTTGTCGACTGCCATGCCTCTTGGTTTATTATATGTTCGTATCTGTAAGATAGGTTGCGAACGTCGTAAAGGGCTCTGTTGTACGTGTAGCAGATGGGCCCACAGGAAGCGCTTTTTTCCTCTCCATCTTTCTGTCATCTCGGGGTACCGCTTGTGCCCGGATCTCCGACGTGTTGATTGCCAACTTTAAGAAAAGTGTGATTCAGAGCCAAAAATATGGTACAGCAATGACCGACTTTTGGTACAAATTTTATAGTAGTAAGCAAATGCGTCAGAAGAATTTAACAAAATAGGAAAATGTATTAATTAAAATATTGACATAAAATGTTATAGCACATATCAAGTTTAAATCTTTGTTCATATGCAAAGAACACGAGATTAAGTCATATTAAAATAATCTTTCAGCCTGTTTGAAAATTTACTTTTTACTTTGTTCGTGAACACACTGAAGCCAATTCAATGCAGTTCAGAACAATGGAGACTATTTTCCAAAATCCTTCTCATTATTATACCCCAATTAATGTATTTGTATTCTAACTGGCAATCTGTGTTACTTCATACAAAAATTATGTCATTTAGATTTTACACTCCGACGGTATTTACAGGAAAGCGTAATGAAAATGAAAGTCTTTTACAAGAAGTGGCCAGGTGAACGTCTGCGCACATGAACTTTTATTTACGTGTCCTTTAGGGAAAGGCAATTATGCTATCAAGTAGAATAAAATTTAATTATCAGAGAACTGACTAAAGTTACACAGAATATTCTAATATAAAAGTTCTTGGTTGTAGGAGTAGAATAGAACAGAGAATTAAAAGTAAGACACTGTGTTTTAATTGTTTTTGAAACTGTTAATTATTTATAGGTACATAAAATATTTGCTTTGCCTGTGTTTTGTAAATCCCAAGTTTCATGGCGCAAGTAAATTAATTGAAAGTAGTAGTTAATTAATTTCTTTATTTTTTGTATACAATTTTAAACTCCCTCGTCTCTGTCGATTCCTAGTTTGCATACTTATTGTAAAATATTCCGTATTCGACACTGATCGATGCAACAAAAAAATAATTGGATAAAGAACTCTCATTTTCGTTATATTTATGATATAGCAGAAGTATAATTCCGTTCTGAAAAGTTGTGTTGACTAAAAAAAAATTTCTTATAATAAGCATGCGTCACAAAATATCAGGACTGAAACGTGTTTGAAATTTTCTGAATAACGTGGACTTGCTTTACGATTAGCATTATTAGAATACTTAATTTTAATACTGTCCATGCTTTTTTGTTTTTCGAAATGCCATTATGATATTAGCCTTTATATGAAGCTTGTATCAATATGAGCAGATTATAAGAAAGGAGAAAAATGGAACATGACAAAGTATTTTGTAATGAAGCCATAGTTTTTCTCTACGTATTATCTTCTTCTACAACCACGTAATCCTCTTGTATCGCATGTTTTTGATGCACTATAAATATTTTTTATTAATATAACCGATCCAGTTACTAGGAAACACGACTATAAAGCAAGCCAGTAAGTGAAAAGAACAAATTTGAACAAAGCTTCGTTGCCTCAGGTACTGGTGTTGCAAGTGTGAGAACTCCGAAGACTTCTGGTAGCGCTAGGTCACCTGGGAGGTGCTGCCGTACGGAAACCAATGGACGAACTAACCCTCTCCCACTCCAGTTCTGTACGTAGTCCCAAGAAATTGAGTTAGTGAACGTCGTTATTTTCCCCCCTCTTCACTTTCTCTTGGGACCCAGCTAATAATGCGCTGACAAGACTTGCCCTGTATACCAGCTCCTTCTCTTGACTCCTGATACTTCGCACTACCACTGAAATTAAAATGACTTGTTCCTACAAGATTATTTAAAACACTTGCTATGGGAATAGGGTCCCCACATCCTCAGAAAATAATACGTATGTACACAAATTAATTTGAGGATTTCTTGTTAAAGTAAATGTTTAATAAACCAATGTGATATTACAGACCGTCTTCAGAAAATTTTTATAGGCGTATAGATTACAACAGTTTTAACATAATTCCTCATAATTATCATTAAACGTCTGCATAGTTTTACTATACTTGGTGCTGAATAAGTTCGTCCAGTGTTATTCTGAGCCTCTGTTAGGCATGTTGTTGCAGCGCAACTCCTCCTGTAGCAAAAATAGAAAAATAAATATTGTACTGTGTCATAACCACTGTCATTTCTACGACGAAAGCCCAAATTTAAACGTTGCAAAAGAGGGGGCGATCCTATTTAAGGTTTAATCTTGAAGTACTAAAAGGGAGTGTTGTACTTTTGGATGAAAACTCGCCAGCTAAACTTTTATCTTGACTGTATAATTTTTAAATTTGACGTCATTTTTAAAACACTAATTTTTGAAGCGTTAATTTCTATAACAAAGGAGTAGCAAGAAGCAGAATTTCTGGGCATAATATTTTATTGACATTAGACGTCTCTTCCAAATTGTAACCGGTTCAGTACTTACAATATGTGGGTTATTCTTTTCTTGTAACATTAATCGTACTTGTAACATACGAAGCGTCTGCTTAGTGAATAGTGTAAAGTAGCAATTGAGTGCCAAATTTTGAGAATATACGGACATGTATAATGAAGTATCTCAGACTGCTAGTGCGCAAATAGACAAATAATTGATTGATGGAGTAGCCGGATGGGTTAAATAAGATTTCTTTCTTTACAAAATAGTTTTCATAATTTTAAATAATACTATACTAGCCAGTTCCTCAATAGGCCTACGATGATAATTTCCCAATAAATTATCAGCAGTAGAACAGAGTAGACACAAAGTAACAGGATTTGCAAAGCTTTCACGGTTCAATTAACATGGATACAATACCGTAATTCCAAAGTTAATTATTAGTCTGGTTTATCGAATGATCAGATAATTGACTTGTTACTGGAGATACTGACGTGAGCTACTGTATGTGCACATTTCTCAGACGATTTGTCAAAATAGTTGTAAGTTTACTAAACAATATTCAGCGATAACGATTTATTGTTATGCCTCAGATGTTTACAATAATGTATTTTAAATGTTACCAGATTATCACACTAAAAACGTTGCAAACATTTGTCATATTTTAATCTCTTAATAATCGTATTTTA